ACTTAAAAATAAAGGTTTCAAAAATGGTTTGGCCGTAAAACAACCATTTTGGGTTCCTCAAAGAACCTTCCGATGAAGCGTTCTGAAAGCAACCAATTACCATTCTTTTAAAAACCTAAAGAACCTTTCGTACAAAAGAGTCTCTGTGGATGTTCACGGTTCTTCACGGAACCGTCGATGCCAATAAAGAACCGTCATTTCTCAGAGAGCTTCTGCGTTTGCTCAGTGTTCGTCGCGGCTCTCGTTTGACTCTGGGGCTCTAGCCGGTGTATTTCTGTGTGTTAGCTAGGGATACAGCTCCTTGTCTTTACGGACCAGGTCGTTGTACATCTGCTCGTAAGTGGTTTTGAAGTCGTAAATGTTGGGTTTGTCCGGAGCGGGTCCTGGGAGCTTCACGTGGGTTCCCGTGCCGAAGGAACGCACGTCGAACCCTCGCTTGCTGTGGGAGCAACACAGAGACGGTGAGAATCCACAAGACATCAGAACGGCAAACACATGAGGACAGGACAGACGTGAAGAGAAATCCCTCTCGACCTGCGGCGACTTACCTGACCTAGATTACTTAGTCGGTAACGAACGGATGAAAACGAGGCTGTGAGGGACAAACGCACCGTTTAAAATGATCGCACGTGTACAAACATCTTCCAGACGTCTCTGAGACATCAGTTTTACATCATAAACATCTATTTGACGTCGTATAGCAGATGAGCAAACATCTTCCAGACGTCTCTGAGACATCAGTTTTACATCATAAACATCTATTTGACGTCGTATAGCAGATGAGCAAACATCTTCCAGACGTCTCTGAGATGCGCGTGTCGTCAGGGCTGTGATTGCGTAATCATCATCTCACGGCTTTTAACAACACGTTTCTTCAGTCCAGTCCACTGAACACAGGTACTTCAGTCCCGCACAGCCTCGGTTTCATCCCGGTCAAACACTAAATATGGCGCTTCCCTGACTAACGTCTACATTTTGATACTATATCACTTCTACTCATTTTATCTGGCTTCCAAAGAGGTCCCATAATGTTGGTATGTACTAGTATTATATGAGGTACCATGTGAATACCATAGTAAACTAATATGCTAATGCTTCAGTACCGCGGTACTGCAGTGCGTGTCTAGAACCATCATTACCCCTGTATTATAACATTAAATCTAAGTCTGACTACTTTATTCCAGAACTTTCTCTATTTTTCAGCGAGCTCCATCAGCTTCAGTTTGTTTTTGTAAAAAAACAAAAAAAGCATAAAATCGTTTTCTCTAAATGACTCCGGCTCGGTTCGGTTCGCGTGATCTGACGGTCCCGGTTCGATTCCGATCCGCGTTTGGACCATCTGGACACCGATCGAGCGCTGAGGAAAAACAACGGCGCGGCGGTGTCGGGCTCGAGTTCGGCTCGGTTTCGGCTCGCTCTTCCTCGTCGTTACCTCAGGATGTTGTGCGCTTCCATGCTGCGGTTCTGGTTGCTGGAGCACACGACCGCGACACGCAGCGGATGGGCCGGCATCGCTATCTAAAGCCCGGGGAGAGTGCCGCGGGTTTGAGAGGTCGGTTCGGCGCGGGAGCTCGGTTCAACGCTTCTACTCGGATCCGCGGAGGGGAAGAAAATGGCGGCTGCGCTGCGCAGCTGTCAGTGACGCGTCACAATAGGGGGAGGGGCAGTGGGCGGAGCTTCCGCTGCAAACCCCGCGAATCAGAATGACGAGGAACACATCAGGTACATCCTTCCTTTAGAGAGATACAATCTGTTCATCAGTTTCTTATAACACTACAAAAATAATAAAACTAAACCAGCCAGTTTATTAAATTCACCCTCGTTTATGGACACAAAAGGTTTGTATTACAGAGAAGACAGTCCCTATTTAGGTGAATATCACTAACTCAGAATTAGTAAAGATAAGCATACTGTAAATGCTTGGGGCTGACACACAGAACTACAGCATCCCTCGAATACAAGTAAATCATTGTACCTTACTCAAAGTCATCACATGCAGTTGCATTTCTAAAACAAATAGTATATAGCTATCAGTCTTGATATCAACGAGTGCACAGTTTTTCAGTAAATGGGATTATTAAACGACTATAGATGAAAATGCACATAAACACAGGAAAAAAGCTTGTTTGTGTGTCTGGCTATGTTTGTCATATACTATCTCTGCGGTGTACTGTATCCCACAATGCAATGCCTCTGACCTGTGACGAATGAACTGGACAGTCTTACTCGACTCGTTATTCGATTGCCAAAATTTTAAATTGCGCTAAAGCATGCAAAGTCTTTCTAAGAGCTGGATGCCTCTGGCATGCAACATGATGAGGTCATGCGACAAAGCAGCACACTACTCTTTCAGAATAATGCCTACTTTTCTATTTCTCAAAAGTAAGAGATCCACAGTAGGTTAGTATTCCATTCCGAACACAGCTGGCGTGTAAGTAGTGTCGTGAACGTGCATCTCGGCAGCAGCTAGCGCAGCGGTTTCAGTGGATTCCACACTAGTTTCTGATCCTGAGTTCTTCTTCTTCTTCTTTTGAACTGTATTCTTTCCCTTTCATATGCTCTACAGTTAATCAGAACATGCTCTACAGTTTCTGGAAGTCCACAATGCTTACATTGACCAGATTCATGTCTGCCTATCATCTGGAGTGATTTATTAAGAGTAGAGAGTCCAATTCTCAGTCGAGATATAACTGTATCATCCCTTCTATTACCATAAGCAGTTCTTACTTGTCAAGTCAAGTCACCTTTATTTATACAGCGCTTTTAACAATACAGATTGTGTCAGAGCAACTGAACAGCATTAATTAGGAAAATAATGTGTCAATAATGCAAAATGACAATAGTAAACACACATTTTTCAGTTAAAGGCAGTTCATCATTGAATTCAGTGATGTCAACATCCAGCTCAGTTTAAATAATATCTTTGCAATCAAGTGGACGATATCGCTGGAAATGAAGTGTCCCCACCTAAGCAAGCCAGCGGCAAGGAACCGAAACTGCTTCGGTGACAGAATGGAGAAAAAACCTTGGGAGAAACCAGGCTCAGTCGGGGGCCAGTTCTCTTCTGACCAGACGAACCAGCAGTTCAGTTCCAGGCTGCAGCAAAGTCAGATTGTGCAGAGGACTCATCTGGCTCCTGTGGTCTTGTCCCGGTGGCCGTCTGAGACAAGGTCTTTACAGGGGATCTGTATCTGGGGCTCATCTAGTTGTCCTGGTCTCCGCTGACATTCAGGGCTGTAGAGGTCCTCTCTAGGTGCTGATCCACCATCTGGTCTGAATACGTACTGGATCCGAGTGACTGCAGTGACCATCTGATCTGGATACAGACTGGTTCTGGTGGCTACGGGGACCTCGGAATAAGAGAGAAACAGACTAATATTAGCGTAGATGCCATTCTTCTAGTGATGTAGCAAGTACATCGGGTGTTATGAGAAGTGTTCCCGGTTCCGGTTGACCTAATTAATGCAGCCTAACTT